AAAAAAAAAATTGAAAGACTAAGGACTAAAGGACCTTACATTTGTTGGAAGAGAATGAAAAACCAGATTGACCTGGGTGAATAAAGATAATTTGAATAATAGGAAATTAATATATTTCATTGATGTACGAGCTGGTATATATACTTGAGCGAATAGATTAGGGATACAAATCATCTGGATAGGAATTAGAGGAAGATAAGAGATAAGAGCCTAGAGGCTAATCCTTAGGATTATCGGATTGCATGGTGGTTGCATGGCGGGTTATGTAGGTCACATAACCTTATCGGGTATTGATGTGGCTCTACCTTGAATTGGATGAAATGGGTGGGGCCATAATAATGCATCCAAGGCTGTGATTTCATGGTTTTAGCTTAGGAGAAGCTGATTTCCCCTCAAAGTAATGAGACTGGAAAACAACAAAATATTAATTAACCGAGAGAACTAATTTGCTAGTTGATAAAATCGGAGGGGACCAGGGATTGAATCTAGGGTTCAACTCGACAGTAGATTTGTTATGGTAGGATCCATGAACTGTATAACTGTAGGCTTAAAGAATTGCAGCGATCAGAATGCATGACTCTATATAGAATAAGACAAGCACAAAGCCTTTAATAGACTCGCACATGCTTGCTAATGCATGTGTAAAAAGTCGCTTAGAGGAGAGAGAAGAAATAGTGGATTAGGATATAATTGAGGTTTGTATGAAGACACAACCAAAATGAAGACACAAAGCTGTCTCTTTTTTATATATTGACTTATGAGTTTACGGAGTATTATAACAACTTTTAACTTGTTATGGCCTTGTTATCAGGTGGGATTCTTATATCAATTTATGAAGTTGGATCCCAAGCTTTGATTCAAAACTGTAATATGTTAAATGTTCCTTCTGTTATTTCTCATGATGCTTAATCTCAAGGTAAAGTCATTACCCAGAGCTATATGTTATTGAAAAATAGTGTTATTTAATTTAATTTTAAATAATTTGATTGGCTCAAATTTCCATTTAGCATGGGCATCATTGTGGGAGAAAACGGTCCATCTAGCCACCTAGCTTCACAATTACTGTGGGCTTTATGTGAATAGGAAACGGTCCATGCAAGTAAATGGTAATAAAGAGGCCCTAAAATCCAGTATAATAATGGTCAAAAACATTTGTATACTGTTTGGTTTGAAGGAAAAAATAAGGGAAGGAAGGGAAATGTAGGGAAATCATTACAAATCTTGTATAGGATTTTTTACGTTTTCTTTCTTTTCCCTATCTTTTCCTTCAAATCATTCGATCCTTTCTTTTTTTTTTTTTTTTTTTTGTATCATTATAAGTTTCCAAATGTGGGCAAAAGTGCACTGGTCGTTTTATTCACAAACGAGAAGAGAGGAAATCAAACTTGAGATCGGTATAATGTGAATTTACATCCTATAAATTTACATTTACATCATTTCCAAACACAGCCTAAAGAAGACAAACCAAGTTAACCAATTGGAAATAGAGGTGCAACTTGTATCGACCCGAGTAATCATTTTACACTGTTTTAGTGTTAAGACTTTAGGACTTTGGACGGGGTCCATCCAAATTTTAACAAAAGCCCAACCTGGGCCGCCCAAATTGTACTCCTAATGAGGGATTTATTGAACGGATGCATAATTCTCAGGTCAGATGTTCTCGTTGCAAGGCTGTTCTTTTGGTAAAATAAGGGAAAAACAGAAAAAATAAGGAAAAGTTAGTAAAAAGAATTACAAGAATTTTAATTTTCCTCAACTTTATAAAAGGCAGGCATCGAGCATACACTGTACATTGTCGTGTTTGTTGGAATTCAACCGTACGGTACGGTCATTGTGGCCTCCATAATCCGGCGGATCAGCCATGGTTTTGTTTCTGGGTAATTGGATTCGATTTTCTTTTTCGGGATCTCGACAATCTTGTTTGATAGCAAGCTGGTTTCAGCCTTTCTCTTTTTTATTTTTTTTTTCTATTCTTTCTTTTCTAAAATGATGCATCCGTCGCTGCTTTCTTGGTTCAACTTTTACATCCCGAAAAGTGCGGATTCCTCATCAACCCCCCCCCAGGCCCCAGCTAAAGGCCTAAGGATGAGGAAGCTTTACAGCACACAAAAGATGTGCCTCCATCCGGCATGTACCGGGCCCACCTCGTTGATGGGCTGCAGCCTGGGTAGGGAATAAGGCCGGGCCCATTACTTGGAACTGTAGGTCCAGAGTCTTTACTTGCCATTGTACTTGTGGGACGTGCCCGGCCAGATTTGGTGCAAAAGGACCTCTCTAACCCCACTACCTCATTAGATTGCAAATTATTCAGGTTAACAACCCCCACTAATAGGTCATTTTGTAAACACTATCACCTTGAATTTTAGAAATACAATCCTTTATCCTTTGTACTTATAAAAGGAGAGGAGAGGAATATGAATATATGTTGAAATCAGGCATGGGGTAGCGAAAGTAATAACCGATGGAGACCTCAAATCAAATGCCTTGTTCCAACAGGGCATCAAGGGAATAAAAAAAGAAAAATTATTCCATGGGGGAGCACATTTGTCTATGCATTCCAAAACCATCATTACATTTACATAATATACCACATTTCTTTTCTCGAGTTAATCCAAGGTAACTTACTTCCATAAACCCTGTCAGGTTTGAAAATTATAATTAGTTGTCCTAATCCAAAACATAATTCCTTATTTTCCTTTTGTTTCATCTGCAGGCTAATTATGACTCCATAATCATTTACGTAATAAAGTGAAGGCTTGCCCCCACAAATCCTCCTAGCATCCCCTAATTTAAGCACTGAAATGTTTTAGACTTTAGTTGTAATTGTTCACCGAGAGTCCGAGACATTGCTTATTGAAATAAAAAGAAACAGAATATGAATACTTAATGTCAGTGGGTTTGGTCATATTAGGGAATATCTCCCCACATAATTCTTAATTCTCTGGTGGAGGAGGGTAGGGTCATAGGGGTGAGTATTATAAGATGACAATAAAAAACTTCGAATTAACCTAATTTTATTATATTGTATAGATGTGTTTAATATGAATGAAATTCGGTTTTAAAAAAGTTGCCAATTTCAGTTATTTCGGTTTCGGTTCAATCTTTTAATTTTGGTTAAAAATTTTTGACTTTATCATGTTCGAATTTTAACCAAATGTCCACCCCTAAGGAGAGATGGTGATGGAAGCATGGAGTTGGAAGAGACTGGTGTATGGTTCAAAGTATTGATACATATAATATGTCTCGATTTTCAGGTTCATCAAAACACTAAATACGGTGAATTAGGGATTTTTAATAGGTTCAAACATTATTGCCCATCCTAGCAACTGTTGGCAGTTTGACTGATAAGTTCTCTAGCTAATTGTAGTAGACACTTGGGATCAAATCCTGTTGCAATTAATCAGAGTTTGGGTTATGACTTATGAGTATGGGAAATTGAGTTTTGATTTCTTCCTCACAAAGCGTGTTTCACACCAACATCACTACATGTTTCAGCTGTGCTTTTAGAACATCTTTCTAGTTGTAAATGTTTATTTAAGGGGAGATATTCCAGATGCACGACTGAAGCATGCTGTGAAGTCAGTGGAGTCGTGCTCTGTGAGGAATAAATCCGAATTCATGAAAAATGGGCTATGCCCCATTGTGTAGTACTATGAAGAAATAATAATAATAATATATTTGGTTATAAATTATCAAACTTATAATTTATAATAAGAAAAGTATCAGTTTTTGTTGAAAACCCTAGATGCACGGTTTTTTTGCATATCCAAAGTATAACAAAAGAGAGACGGGACAAGCCAAAGAAGCAGAGGGCAGTATTCACAATGTTGTTTCAGAGTTTCACTGACCAAAATGTCTCAAACGAAGGGGATCATTGTGGGGTCTACTTTGAATTGAATTGCAGGAAGGGGCAAAACCCTTCACCTGACAAACATATATGATGGCATTCAAGGATCAATACCCAGTACCCAATTATCAGAAGATTCAGACCAAGAGACAATGAATCGGAATATGAAACACTAATGATTGAAGAAGAAACCAACAATAAGAAAAACCCGATGCCTCTTCCTCCCCATGATACATATACTATTTCATACTGTAACTAAGCTTAAGTACTATTCTGATATTCCAAATTTCCAATGATAATTATCCACATCAAAATAAACCGCCAAATCAATTATCTAAGCTAACTGGGGAGCATCAACACTTAAAACAAAAAGCAATTAAGCATGCAGCTCTTGTTGCAGAAAGGAATCTGGGAACCATCAAATAGAGGTGAGATTCATGCTCAAAGCTCAATCCTTGTGGACCTTAGGGGAGAGGGAGGGGGGTGTTGATCGTGGAGAAGAGCCTAGATCCTAGAGGAATACCCTAGCTTTGTAGTGATTATTGTGTTGGATTGATTAGTAGAATTTGTTTATATTTATAGAGTAGAGCATGCCCTTGATTTTGGAAAATGGTACAAAGTACGCTTAGGTATTTGTATTCAAAAGTTATAAACATTATTATATGTTTACATATGTATGGTTCATGTAGTATATAAAGTAAAAAAGTGGCGAATTTTGGCAGAGTTTGGAGAGGGATTAGGAGGCAAGGAATGTGAAGGTTTGTGCCAGGGTGGTGGTGGGTTTGATGATGATGATGCACGCCGGCAGCTTTTCTGACGCACTCTCTCTCCTCCTCCCCCTCCCCCTCCCTCCTCCTCCCAACCTCTGGTAGGCACGCCTGTTCTCTCTCTCTCTCTCTCAATCAATGTAAAGCTAACCCACTAACCCATTTTCTTGACCTCGACCTTGTTAACTTTCCTCACTCCTTGTCAGATACACTTCTAAAACCAGTACTCCATGGTTTTAACAGAAAGACCCACATCAGTCAATCCCTCATAAATATAAAAAGAACTCCGAAAGAATTACTAGAAAAGAAACGCCACTTATTCCTCATCGATTACACCAAAAATAAAAATAACAATAAATTCTTCAGATTCCCGACTCCTCTTTCTCTCTCTCTCTCTCTCTGTCTATCTCTCTCTCTGGCCTGTGCTGCGTATATGTATGTATGTACATGTGTGCTAAAAGAGTAAAAAGTCCGATTGATACCCAGCCTCAAGCATCAAGCTCCTCCTTTGAAGTTTGAACGCTCCGTCTCCTATTTCTTCCTTCTTTAAAACACAAAACACCCGTTTCTCCTCCTCTCCCTGTACAGAGCGAAAAGAGCCATACAAGGATTCTATAGAGAGTTTATTGATGTGGGTCTCTGGTTAAATGGATACCTTGTTTAGGCTAGTAAGTCTTCAATCTGATCAGTCTATCAATTCCAGTAGAACCTCTAGCAGCTCCAGATCCTCTAGACAAAACCATCCGTACCACCAACAAGAAGAAGAATGCGGCAACTTTTTCATGGATGAAGACGACTTCTCTTCTTCCTCAAAACAATTTTTCCCTTACCAACAGTACCACTATCCATCCACCGCCACGACCTCAACCCCTACCACCACTACTAACACCAGTACTACCACCACTCATGGATTTGAACCCTCTCATGAGTTTGCTTTCAGCTCCCCTTGTCCTGACCTCAACTTCGAATTCGCCTCTACGACGTCCGGTAAATGGGCATCAAACCTCCTTCTCGAGACTGCTAGAGCAATCGCGGATAACAACAGTTCCCGGACCCAACAGCTAATGTGGATGCTCAACGAACTCAGCTCCCCGTATGGTGACACCGATCAGAAGCTTGCTTCATACTTCCTCCAGGCCTTGTTCAGCCGGATGACCGACTCCGGCGAGCGATGCTACCGGACCTTAGCATCAGCGTCGGAGAAGACGTGTTCCTTCGATTCCACCAGGAAAATGGTACTGAAGTTCCAAGAGGTAAGCCCATGGACTACTTTTGGACATGTAGCTAGCAACGGTGCAATCTTGGAGGCCTTTGATGGGGAAAGCAAATTACACATAGTGGACATAAGCAACACGTACTGCACCCAGTGGCCTACTCTGCTGGAAGCCTTAGCCACGCGCACCGACGAGACGCCGCACCTACGTCTCACCACCGTGATGGCCAACAGACCCTCCTCAAGCTCCGGTGGCATAGCGGCTGTGCAAAAAGTAATGAAAGAGATTGGAAATCGAATGGAGAAGTTCGCCCGGCTCATGGGTGTGCCTTTCAAATTCAATGTAGTGCACCACGTAGGCGACTTATCCGATCTGAACTTAGCTGAATTGGACATTAGAGACGATGAAGCACTGGCTGTCAACTGTATCGGCACATTACATTCAGTAACCACAGTTGATAACCGCCGTGACATCATCATATCCACGTTTCGGAGGCTGCGGCCGAAGATTGTTACCGTCGTGGAGGATGAAGCCGATCTTGACGTCGGTGCCGACGGATTTGACTTTGTCAAAGGGTTTCAGGAGAGCTTGAGATGGTTCAGGGTGTACTTTGAGTCTCTAGACGAGAGCTTCCCGCGCGCCAGCAACGAGTGTTTGATGCTCGAACGTGCAGCCGGGCGTTCACTTGTCGATCTCTTGGCCTGTTCCCCTGCCGAGTCAAGCGAGCGACGCGAGTCAGCAGCTCGCTGGTCACAGCGTCTGCACGCGGCTGGATTCAGCCCTTTCGCGTTTAGTGATGACGTGTCTGATGATGTGCGTGCGCTTCTAAGGAGGTATAGAGAAGGTTGGTCGATGATACCTGGATCCGATGCCGGAATTTTCTTGGCATGGAAAGAGCAGCCGGTCGTATGGGCTTCTGCTTGGAAGCCTTAACAGGATAACAGCGACGTCCACACGACGCGCGTGCATGGTGATGCTGAGTTCACACGTGCATGGAAATGGAATGGAACTGTTTTGGTAAAGTTAAAACTGGAAGTAGAGGAAGAATGGGAGAGTGTGGAGTTGGATTGGAACTGGTTTTCGGTTGGATAGAAAAGAACCATTTACGCTTTTATTATTATTATTATTATTATTATTTTGTGATTGCTATTAATTATCATATTTGGAGAGCTCAGATTTATGTGATGCAGTTTGCCTTGAGAGGAAGAAAAAAAGACGAGAACATGCAGAAGGCTCTGCGCTTCTTGCTAGCCCTAGGGAATGCACAGTGGTTTTAAATGTACTTATGCAAAGATGCGAAACGTGGCAGCTGAGTTGGCAGCCATTATGGGTTCATGTCTTAATTGTGGTATTGTTATTTGTACTTTGCCAAGTTTTTTCTATGCCACGTGGCAAAAGGGTCATTTCTCCATCCGAACTTTTCTCCTCTGATTTGGCTTAGCTACTTAGCTAGCGTGACGGTCACAATTAATTTCAGTATTTTAAGTTTTGGAATGAAGAATAATGGAGACTTCTAGGGGAAAAAAGTGTCTATTTTATTCTCCCGGTATTTGAAATTCTTTTTTTTTTTGAAATCTAAAGTAACAATTCATTAATTAATACCAGCAGAAATATCAGAGTTTAGAGCTTATACAATGTCTCTTGCAGCCAAGCCATTCAGGTGGTTCAGCTAAAGTTGTAAATCACACGACCTCATAAGCTATGGTGATGTATGGTTTGGCCTTTTATATATGTGGTAATGTAGATATATTTTAGTGAATCAAGATGGATATATACCATCAAATACTCATGAACTCTATCTCCAAAGTGAAAGTGAAGGTTATTTTTCTTGGTTCTATGCTTCTTGAACCATTGTTGAAGAGTCAGTATAGTAGGGTGATATCACATTGATTATAAACACTTCATTTAAATGTTTTAGGTAACAATGCCAATGCCAAACACAATACTACTCACAACACTTTGTTCATTGCCTGATCAGCCTAAATACCACTTTCTGGCTTTCCGAGGTGGGTTCTTAGTAAACGGCCTTTAAGCTATGTTTAGTGAAAAATCTAAAGAATCATTTTTAGCGGCATCTGCTTCAGCCTCTTTAGATAGTTTATTGGGAATGCTTCAAATCACGATCAAAGTAAGTCTACGAGCCACAAAAACATTATGACAATTATTCTTCACCCTAACTGTCAACCAGGCCAATTCTGGGTCTGTTTTGTCTAGCGAAATCCCAGTCTAAGCTCTAGTTTTGTCCGAGCAGAGGGTAGACTGGACAGCTCAACCTAGTTTTCAGAGAGAGAGAGAGAGAGTTGTGGGTATGCCCTGATCATTCACCCCAGGTCGGTGCCAAAAGTTGGAAAATCCCACTATAACCTAATTCAGGGTGGCCACTCCTAACTTACCCTGAACCATTTCCATTTTCCAATCCATGTCTTATATTTAATCAGATGGAAGCTTTCAGCTTGTTCAAATGGAAGAGTTTATTGTTAGTGGTAGTAGAGACCTTAGATCCAAACGCTACTTAGTCAGGGTGGGGTGGGTAGGGTTGGATGAGGTTTGGGAGATAGGGTACTCATGTAGTGGTGATGGGTATGGAGAGGGGACGGGAGTCCAAGTGCAAGTGCATGCCTCAAATGGTTGAAAATGAGTCTCAACCACTTATGATGCTGCAAAGGCTATACTCTTCTAACTCGGTTCAGTTTATGGATGATTCAGATTCCATTTGTTTATTCTGTATCTAACATAACATGGATCCAGTCCTATCCAGTTTTATATGATCCTATTTGAAAATATTTAAACATATACGTTTTTTCGGTATTCAAAATATATATAAGTTGAAGTCTAATATGAGTTATATATCTTGAATTCATTTTATCTAACCATACATGATGCATGGCATTTGGATAAGTACCCGTTTTATCACTTACGTTGGGTGTTTCATATGGTGGTATTGTACTCATTTTGTGTATGTAGCGCCTAGTAGTGCTTGTGCATGGAATAAACAATTGTTGCATTGCAATGGGCATACCAAATATCATCATATAAGGCTTTGTTCACTTTTTGGTAAGTTATTTATTCCCGTAAATGTATTTATCTAGGTATTAAGTGTTTCCTACACACTTATTGGATAAGTGTATTTACCCATCTTCTTTTATATCTCAAGTAAAGGCAATGATCATTTTAACCATAAAAATTTATTATTAAAAGAGGCATATTTATCTCATTCAAATGTTAATAACTTTCTTCTAAGTGGAAAAGTTGTTTACCTACCCATTAACCAAGAATATGGATTTCCTGGTCAATGAAAATCAAAATCCCATTAACTAATTTTCCCCCTTCTCAAAATCCAAAAACAGAACGCCCCCTAAATACATAAATAAAATTTAATGGAGTGTTCCACAACATGTTTTTGTTGACAATGTTGCCGAACACTCCCTAAACTATTTTATTAATAGTATATAATATTTACATATTTTTATTTAATTGTGTATTCAATATCCAAATTCAGTTTAAAATGAATACTTAGATAAGATTTGGTTCAAATCCAAATATTCAAGGTATATGCAATCGATCCATTTGAAACACTAATCACTTTTGATTGTGGTCTTGCAATCATTTACAGTTTTACCCATAATATCAAGTCAATTATAATACACCACGTCAGCTGCATAATCATGGACCCCACATTAGCATCGTCCCTCCAAGGGGGTGGCACTTTGGCTGTTAGGGGCCAGCAGGAATGCCACGTTACCATGAAAGTGGATAAATTAATATTTACCTTTTATTTTATTTTGATAAAAAAAAAGAAAAATATGGGTGTGAATAGGTGAACGTGTATAATCCAAAAATTGCTCTCAACATCATAAATTGTTGGCACCCAACAGCCAAAGTTACCTTAGGCAGTACTCGTTAAGTGTGAATTAAGGGTGAAACAAATCAATTGAGGACTGACTCGTTGGTGTGCTAATTGAATTGTCCTAACCTTAAGGGGAATCAAATCCCGCAACCAGCACTTTGGAAAAAGGGGGTAAAGGGAAAAGGGGGAAAATTGTTGCTGATTAACAAAAAAAAGAATTAAGGGTGAAACAGAAACATAAACTAAAAGTAGGAGAGTACATGAATATTTTTAAAGATCAACAACTTTGAACGCCTAAAAAAAGGGGTCAGTATATAGTGGGGAGTGGGGAGCCATCGAATCTTGGGACGGCCACGAGCTGGGCCTGGGTTATGTTTTGGGAATCTAACAAAAAAGGGTTAGTCATTAGTGGGGTGCACGCTTTTGTTGATGTGGGTGGGTTTTGCCTTTTTGTCAATCTAATCCCATTCTCCAAAGGGGAAGAGTCCTTATTGCCTTTTTAGGTCCCTCCACCAATTCAATTCAATTGCCTCTCTCTCTCTCTCATTCCAACCTTGAGAGATGGCTCTTTAGGCAATTAGTTTAGCCCCACACGTGAACGTAGTGGGAACTCCTTTTGATGAGACTACTCGTTCCCCTATCTCTTTTCTACTAGCTTTGGCCTATGAGAGGATTTGTTCCTTCACGGCTTACCTGATGTTGTCCATGTCATGCGTGTACCTGTCTATCTTATCTATTATCTGCACATCCCTCTCTCTCTCTTAAGTCGACATTTTCAAGCTGTTTCTTAGGCTAAAATGGTTGGACTAAAAACCTTTTCATCTTGTGGATCAATGTTGATAGGGCAGGAACCTAGTCCTTTGTGGAGATCATAGAGGATTTCAAGTTAAGGCTGTGTTTGGTTTGAATTCCTTTTCCTACCTTTTCCCTCAAACCAAACACAACTAAAAGATTTCCTTCGTAGACTTCAAATCTGCTAAACAAGAAGATTTGGGTAGAAGTCCCATAAATGACCCAGGAATCTTTCACATGGCATGCAATCGAGGGGTCATTATAATTATAAATACTCTTCTATTGACAATCTATTGATCATGGGCGGATTTCAGAATGAAAGCCTGCAAATCGATCCATTCTCGAGGAGGTATTTTAAATTTCAATAGTAATATCCTTCTTTAAATGTGGCTTCGGAGGCGAACAAAATGCCCAATTTTGAGGATCTCCTATCTATAAATGGTCCGGATAGTTAAGTTCATATCCATTATACCTGACCCAAGACCCGGATAATTACCTGGGCCTACATTAATTGTGTAATGGTCCAGATAAAATGACCCACTCAATAACTTCAAATGGCACTGTTTTTAGTTTTTACTATCTACCATTCAACTTCATTGAGTTCGTTTTTCTTCTCTATTATGACCATCTGTTGATACGGCAGAAATTCGATAGTTAATTCACAACTATGTAAGGTCAGATACATGACTCCTGTTCTCCTATTTCATTCTAGGAAGGGCCATGGATCTCTAATATAATGGACTAATATAAGATAGGACATAGGATAGGAGCAATTAATATGTATTTTGCTTCATTAAACACTTAAGACTGTTTGTTTTGTAGGAAAAGGAAGGGAAAGATAGGGAAACCTATACTTTCCCTACCTGTTCCTTCCAACCAAACACAGCCTTAGGGGGTGTTTCGGCAGCTTTGGAGCATTTCTGGTGCTTTTGGAACAGAAAAACAACTATTTTCTGCTCTCAGCAGAGTACACCAGAAACGTTTTATCAAAGGGGCCAAGCCAAACTGATTAAGTTTTTGTTTCATTGTTATGTAGTGATGATTATTATGCGAGAATTAAATTAAGGGCTGTAATAGTTGTAAGTACATTCAAATAATATAACAGCTTTCTGATGGCTGCGGTACGGGTTGTACCAATACTCCAAAGTCTAAAGCCTGCACAAAATAGAGCAAAAGGGAAAAAGGAAGCAAAGGGAATAGTATAGTGAAAATCAACAAACAACTTTCACAAGCTCGACTAAAATGATATAGAGATGAAAGAACTTTGATACCCAAGTCAAAAAGGAAGTTCCATCAAGTTTCTTTGTTGAAACTCCACAATAACTGGGATTGGCTGTTCTTTTAAGTACTTGGTTCCTTGATTTAAAATACAAGATTAAACTATTAAACAACACCCGTTAAAAGCTTAACACATAATAACAAGTCTTCCCAAAGTTTTTTTTTTTTAATTTATTTTTCTATTTCTTTTATAGTAACTAGTAAGTGTTTCTTTGATTGGTTCATGGCTTCATGCTTAGCCATTTCCAGAACCAGAATCCTTAGGCTGCATTTGGGAGTGCATTTTGGTCTAAACAAGCTTTTGCAAATGGACTTTTTAAATGGGCTTTTTGATAAAGCACCTTAATTAGTGTGTGACTGTGTGAAGAGCCATTGGCTTTTTATGGTTCAAAATAGCTTCTTGCAAATATATATGGAGTCTTTTTTTTTTAGTTCCTCTGCTTTTTCAAATGAGCTTTTTTCACC